CCCCCCCTCCCCCCCCAGCGGTTAATTATTACCGAGCCGCCGGTTGCGCTCGCCCCACGGCACAGCTGTCGGCAGAGGGATGGGGCCATCGCACGGGTTGCAACCCCATGTGTCGGGGCTGGGGGTGACCCCTCTGGCAGGACCCTTCCCCAGGCTCTGCTCGAGGGGTGGAGGGTGGGCAGGAGCCGTCGAAGCCATCCTGCGTGTGCGGGGTGAGCGCAGGGTGCGGGTCCTGTCCTGACGACACAGTCCCACCCGCTGCCATGGGACTCGGGGAGGGGGAACAGGGCTCCTGGTCCCCCAGCCCCGAGCTGAATGCTGCCGTGTCCCGGCACAGCTGGCTCCCGGGCGGCAGAACGCTGTCGACGGGGCATTTTCTTCCCAGGCTGTGGGAAGGGAACCGGGCACCAGCCTCGCAGTTCAGCCACGTGCCTCATTAAGGGCCAGCCCTAATTGTACCAATAACAAGATGTGGAAAGGCATTTCCCTGAGCCACACGCTGGCTGTCACCCATGCAGGACAGGCGCGTTTCCATCCAGCTCACGGCACCCCAACCATGCTGTGGGGCCACGGCTGCAGCCGGGAGAGGGCAGGGAGCATGGCTGGAGCCACACACGGTGCCAGCCGCTGTGTCAACAGGAGCCAGCCGCACTGCCGGTGTCGTATACAGCTCAACATCTCCAGGCGACAGGGACAGACAAGTGACATGGGGACATGCAGCCTCCGGAGAGCTTCCCAGCCTGGCTGGGGGGGCACCCAGGCTCACACCCCCCCAGGAGGGCTGTGCCAGTGCCTAAGGAAGGAAGAAGGGAGAGCCAGGGCTGGAGGAGCCCCACTGAGCAGTGGGGGCACTTAGGGACAGGGCTGCAGCGAGGGGACAGTGCGGGGGTCAGCGTGCCCCATGTACCCCTCATGAGGAACCTCCGCTCGCGGGGTCCCCTCGGCGCCCGTGCCCCAGTGAGGACATGAAGGCTCCAGGGGACAGCGAGAAGCAGCAGCTGGCCGGGGGGCCTGGC